TCTCTCCCACACACACACACACCCCTCCCTTTTCCTCCCTCCCCGTCTGGAATTTCCAACTTAAGTCTAACTGGACTGACTTCTCTAGTCTCCCCTGCTTCTTTCCTTCCCTCTTCTGTCCCCTAACACTCCCATTCCAACATCTAAACCGCACTTCCTGGAAGACACTAGCCATATTTTAAAGTCTTTCAAGAAAATGGGGAGCAAACAAGATTGAATGTAAATTCTAACCGCTGAGAAAATGTCTGCTCTTCAAACGTCTTTAGTTCACATTTATTCCAAGGTCACCCCCACCCCCAGCCCAGGAAAGAGGTAGAACAACAAATATCTTCTCATCACAACACAAAATTCTTGAACTTCAACGAATAGCCCTTGCTGGTCTCGCTCTTTTCACTCAACTAAACCAAATCTGAAATGCCTTTTTAAAAGGGTGAGGGGTGGTAAATTCTATACTCACTAGTCTATCTCAATGGCATCTTTGTCTATTGACTGTTACACATGAAAGTATAGGATAAATAAAGTCTTTTAAAAATAAACCTTAAAAGTACTCCCACACATAAAGTAGATTAAAACGATGCATATTAAGGTAATTAAAAAAATTAGAAGCTCAGGACCTTTGAATCAAGATGCTTCCAATTGCTCATGCCACGTATTTCCCATCTCTGAGAACATAATTATAAGAATGTTTTGCTCTTTTTTCCACCAAAAGCTATGCCATTACAGCTTTGTGTTTGGATCGGTTAACTATACTTTGAATAACTTAGGGATGGGAATTACAATGTTTTTTTCTGTCTTTCCTAAACAGAGCTCCATCTGGGAAGCCAGTTTAGTAAAATGGATCTACTGTGAGCCAGAAGACAAGGGATCAGGAAACCTACAAGGGTTTCCCCTGATAAACTCACAAGCCTTGTCATGAAAAACTGATCCCCAAATGACTATCTGTTAAAGGGTTTCGCCAACACAGAAGAAAATGTAATAGTCAATTCATTTGTAGGTGGAAACTAAAAATGAGGAGACAGGACATGGGCTTTCACTTTCCTCCCAAATAGTGCAGAAAAATCTAAAGTAAGTTCACCCTCTGGAGGAAAAAAAAAAGTAAGGACCGACAGTAGCAAGAGAGTCTTTTTAAATTTTTGTTAAGAGTAGCAGAAGTTACTAGGGACTTTGTTAAAGACTAGCCCTATGTATCTTTCGCCTTCTTTGGGAATTGGATACTAACCCACAACTACAGCACTAATGTAAAGGGGACTGAAACTGCCCTCCACTCTGGTTCTTTTCAGCTTTTAATTTCCCCCCATTCACTTTCAACCCTTAACTACATCTTCTTTTTTTTTTTCATTCAAGGCAAACCCATCCCTGAAGGCAATTTTTTTAACCTTGTTTTGAAAACATTTAGGGAACTATTTCTCTGCCTTTCACAAATCACTTTTTAAAATAAAATTTAAGAGTCATAATTTTTATTGGAACAAGATAGTTGTTGAAACAAGATTTGTCAAGCTGCAAAGGTTAACCTCTAAAACAGAAAACAAGTTTGAAGGATTTCTTTAGAGTTCACACACTTAAAATGAATGGTCATAAGGTTACTTTTAGGGTGTTTTAAATATATACATATAGTTGGGAGATCTGGGGAGGGGGGGATGCAGATATTTGTCATCTCACTTCAGGTCAACTTAGAGAAATGACCAACCAAGCACTAACCTGCCTGACACCCACTCATCAAACTTAGAATTCTTAGGTACATTTCACACACACACACACACACACACACTTTTTTTTTTTTAATTAAGAGCAATATCTTATTTTGGTGACACCAGTTGCCAATAAATATGCTATCTTTAGGTCACATTCCTCTGGGAAAAGATACAATGTGACAAACATAAGTAAACAAAGTTTAATTCTCTTAAAAAGCAAGTCATTCTCCAAAGTAACGAGGCTCATTAAAACGCTTCACTGAACTCTTCCACTGATCAAAATAAAGCACAAAGTCTTTCCACAACTGCTGTAAAAATGCTTTTGGTTTTTCTCCATTGTCCCACCAATCTGGTAGTAAATGTATACAAGTTCTCAACAAAAAAGCCCCAAACCATTAACCAAAAATCCCAACACTAAGAAAGGCGTTTAGAGAAGAGCTCACAGAAAAATGTCATTTCACTCAGTAAAAATCGAAAAATTCAAGTAAATTCGTTTTCAGATTACATGAAGTGTTAAGTCTCTTGGATTCTAATATTACGTAAATTATATTTCTCACAAGAATGAAATATACTTCAAAATCAATGCTGTCCACAAACAACTGCTATAACATTACTTGTCTGATTCCTCCTTTTAAAAAAATCAAACAGGAACTTTTAGATTTGGTTTTTTTGTGGGGTTTTTTGTTTTATTAGGGGCTCATACAACTCTTATCACAATCCATACATACATCAATTGTGCAAAGCACATTTGTACATTCGTTGCCCTCATCATTCTCAAACATTTGCTCTCCACCTAAGCCCCTGGCATCAGCTCCTCATTTTTTCCCCTCCTTCAACGCTCCCTCCTCCCTCATGGACCCTTGATAATTTATAAATTATTATTTTGTCATGTCTTGCCCTGTACGACATCTCCCTTCACCCACTTTTCTGTTGTCCGTCCCCCCTAGGAAGGAGGTCACATGTAGATCCTTGTAACCAGTTTCCCCTTTCCAACCCACCCTCTCTCTACCCTCCCAGTTGTTTGGGGTTTTTATAATGCTCTTAGGAATTCTTAAAATCATAATTCATTTAGAACTGAGTTCAAATCATCAACGAAAGTTCTCATCCCCTTTCAAGTTTCTTCCTTTAAGAAAAACACCAGCTATGCGTACACATGCATACTGGTTAATTTTGCTTAGAATATATAAGTCACAGTTAACTAAACTAGTTCCTGCTCATCATGAGACTGAAAAAGCCAATAACCAACAGACTAAAGAAACACTTTTCAGACAGACTGGAAACACAGCCCACCACATGCTTCCTCAAAGAACACAAATGATAGAGCAAACTGATTTAATGAAAACAAACTCGTTCTCTTTTTAAATCCCCATGACTTCAAAAATTGATTCATTCTAGAAAAATGAAGTGCCTCCTCACCACCACCCAAAAAAAGAATATAAAAGACAACACAGCTAACTCAATGTTTGGACTCAAAAATTATTCCAGGAAGGAGAGGAACACACAAAAGATCTAATTTAAAATGGGTGTGCAGAGGGAAGGTTTTTTGGCGTGTTGTTGTTTTCCCCTTGTACCCAGTCTTCTCACAACACCCCACCCCATTCCAACTCCAAAAAAAAAAAAATCCCTTAGCAAAACATTTTGGGGGGAACAAGAAGCAGCAGCCTAGGAATGGCTTGAAAGCCAGCAGATGGCTTAGGGAACATCCATACATACATGCCAAATATAAATGTTTTGAGCTCCATTTCAGCACATTTTGGTATTTATTGCTTTTTACTTTATTTCCTTTAACACTTAATTCATCCACAAAAGCAAACGGGAAAAAGGCCACGTATATCAGAATTCCAGTTATTCTGGATATTTCTCATCAACACATTTCACACAGTTTCCAAATGCCCACAATTCAAGAACCCACAATCTTCTCAATAACTCTACAAGTGAGTGCGTGTGTGTACGTCTGTGTGTGTCTTATTCTCTTCAGGAATGTTTCAAAATAATAAATAAGACTTCCTTTCTTCCTTCCAATTTTATTGCCTCTTTGCTCCTAAGTCTAATTGCCTTTCCAATAACAGAGTAGATCAGTCACTTGGGGCTAAATCACAAGCTCTACAGAGTAGCAAGTCATATTGATCATCTATTGATACAATAGTTCCAAGTTAAAGATATCCAGCCAAACACTAAACCGTTTGGGCTCGAGTTAAACTTTCTAGTTCCTCTTAAGCACACACACACATGCACACACACAAAAGCAGAACCATTCACCCCCACCTTTCCACTCAAAAAGGCCGGGAGAAATGAGGGGTGGGGGCAGGAAGAAGATCCAAGATTGACAGGGGCTGCCCCCAAGAAGAAACATTCAAGAGAACGGCCCTGTCGTCAAATTGAAAGTCTGATTTGAGGAAGTCGAAAGACTGCTCTTCCACTTCCCAGCCACAGTTGAGTGAAAGACAAGGAATCCAAGAGTACTGGGGCGTGGGGAAGACTGAAGGTAGCCCCACTTGCTGATGAGAGGGCAGCAGGGATTGCAACATGCACTGACACAAACACGCGCGCCTGCGCACACCCGCGCACACACCATCCTGGGAGTTCTAGGCCCTCCGAAGAGCCCAGCTCACAGGCTGAGCACAAAGCTCTCCCAATGGACTGGAGGAGTGGGGAGGGGGTCCAAAAAGGACAGTACAGCCAAAGCACAGTCTTTGAAATATCTGAAGGGGGGGAGGGGTGCTGGAGGGAAAATGTCCTTGCCTGTTGCAGAAATACAAATAAAGCACAAGCTTAGGGAGATTCTTGGGGGGCCAGTTTCCTCAGGGAGTATAAGGGGATCCCCCTCTAAAGCCACTCAAGAATTACAGGGAAGGGGGAAGGGGCCGAGCAAGGAGGCCTGCTAGGAAGTGGCTGAAATTGAGTCTGAACGCTTCAGGGGATCTTCAGCTTCCTCACAAAAAGTGGCCTCACGCATTGAGCAAATGCCACAAGGTTTCTTCTATTTAGATTTCTTTTTTTTTTTTCTTTCTTTCCTTCCTTTTTCTTTTTTCGTTCCTTTGAGTCTCCAAGAAACATCCTTTAGCTCAGCCCAGCCCCAACTTTTTTTCTTTTCCTTAACAGGCTGTAAACGGCTGATTCAAGGAGATCTTGGCCAAACTTCGCCCCCTGCTCCCAACATCCGGAGTTAGGGATGGGAATGCCAGCAATAGGCTTCGTCCACGTGGGACCCCCAAACACCAATTCTCAGCGCGCGCCCCCACCCCAACTCCCCGGAGGGGCTCTTCCTTACCTTTGTTTTTTGGGAACCGAGTGTTCAATCTCTAAGCGCTTTCCTTGCAGCTCTACTTTTCCTTTAAGGAAGAAGAAAGAGAAAGAAAAGGCATTCTTATGAAAGCGCCCAGGAAGGATGGGCCACTGGGTTACTCCGAGGAGTTCCTGGGGTGGAGAGGTCTCCCTAGGGATCCGGGCGGTGGGTTGCACAGCCCGATGGGAACGGCCGCTGGGGGTGGGGGGGACACACACGCAAACTAGAAAATCGTTATTATGCTTCTTTTTCATTTGCCTGCTGCTCGTTTTCCTCACTGGGGCCACCCGGGGATTGGCTCGCCCCGGGAGTCCGATGGGGAAAGGTGCGGGGGGTTGGTGTGGGCCTTCAGATCCGCGCGTCGTGAGCACAGGGGTCAGGCGGGAAAAGGCTCCTTTTTCGGCAAGTGTGTGCAGGGAGGCTGCAGAAGGAAACTTTATTTTTCTGCTGAGCCGAGAAGAAGGGCAGTCACCTGTCGGGACTCGTCGGAAAGGAAGCGCAGGGGCCCAACAGGGAGGGAGGGTCCCGGGCGGCGGCGGCGGCGCGCGGCTCTGGGCCCAGCCTCGGCGTCTCTGCCGGCAGCATGGCGACCCGCCGCCTCGCGCCACCGGCTCACGCCCCGCTTTCAAATCAAAATGGCTCAAGCTGCAGACCCTGGGCCAGGGACAAGACCCCCTTGTCCCCCCCCCCCCAGGCCCTGACTGAAGGTTACAGTCCCCACGGAAATGGGGGAGCCCAGACACGGTGGGGGGACGCCTTCCCCACCCAGACGGGCCTAGGGCGTAGGAGAGGTGGGGGGGGTGTGCAAAGTGGGGGGTCGTCCTGCCGTGGATGGGGACGATCGGGCGTGAAAATATCGACCAGATGGGGGTCCTGAGTGACTTTCCACCAGGCCCCCACTACTGCCAAAAAGGGGCTCCCGCCCCGTCGATAGGGGGAGGGGAAGGGGTTCCCCTTATTGGAGCCCCCGCCTTCCTATCTCGGACTGGGAGGATGGGGCCAGGAAACCCCAAATATCGTGGGACGGGGGAAGTGGACCGGGGTCGGGACCGCGGCAGGCCCGGGACCAACAGGGGAGTGGGCCGGCAGAGAAAGTGAAGGCGCGGGTCTCAGGGGTGGGGAGGGCGGGGGTCCTCGTTTTCGTCCTCGGCGGTGGGCGCGCTCTTACCAGAGAAAGTTTCGATGGCCTTCATGGCCCAGTGCTCGTCGGGGCAATCCACGAAGGCGTAACCGGACTTGACCAAGAACTGGCCGCTGTAGGAGATCTTGTGCTCGGCAAACACTTTCTCCAAGTCGGCCGGGGTCACGCTCTCGTTGAGGTTGCCGATGTAGAGCTTGTTCATGGTGGCGGTCTCCGGGCGGGACGCGGTCCCGGGCGAGGCCGAAGCGAGCGGGCGCGGGCGCGGGCGCGGGCGGCGAGCCTCCTAGGCCGGGACGCGAGGAGGGGAGGCGGCGGCCGGAGCGCAAACTTTCGGGCCAGCCACCCCGGGAGTTGTCCGGAGCCCGGGCTGCAGGCGGCCTGGCGGGCGCGGGGAGCTGGGGAGGCCCAGGAGAAGTGCCCGCGGCGCGCGAGGAGCTGGGGACGCGGCGGCCACTCCTGCCCTTCGGTCCGAACCCCCTCCGAGTGCGCTGGTGGGTCACGTTTCTCCGCTGCCGCCTTGGCGCCGCCTCTGAATAAAATCGACTTGGGGAAAAAAAAAAATGGAGCGGAAAAAAAAAAAGGCGAAGCCACGTGGTGAAAGCCCCCACCCACCCTGCAGGGGAAGACCCCCGACGCCACAGGGCCCCTAGCCCGCCCGACCACCAAACTTCCCAATTCCCTCGGGTGGGCAGGGGCTTCGGCCCACCCGGCCCCCGGGACGATCTGGGGCAGTAGGGACGGCACCCCCAACGCGCTACCTGCCCCCTCCCCCTTAGAGAAACCTGGCCCCTAAGGAAGCGCCCTGCCCCCACCCTCCTCCCACCCGAGCTCGGGGAGGGTGGTCGAGCTCAGAATTTGCCCCGTCCCTAAGGGTAAATGGAGGATTGGGTTTTATTCGGGGGAAGGAGGGGGCTCCCTACCCCACCCCGGGTAACTGCTCGCCACTGACGGGTGGGGGCCGTTGGAGAGAGACAGAGAGACAAAGAGAAGCCGAGGACCCCGGGGTCTTCAGGAGGGGGTCGCGGGAGCCGGTGATTTAAAAAGAAAGGCGCCTTTTCCCTAAGCTGTGGAGGGTGGCCGTCTTCGTCATTGCCCCAGCCCACGCCGCGACTCTCCCGCCACGGGGCATCTGGGACTCCGGGGTCCTGCGAGCCACGGGCCCGTGGGGGGAACACCGGAGTCTCGGCTGGGGGCGAGGGAGCCGCAGAAAATTGTGGCTCGGGACTCCCACCGGAGAAAGGGCCGATTGCACGGGGATCCGGCTGTGGAGTGCGGACGGCGCGGGGCTCCCTCGGGAGCGCCCGGTTCCGACCCGAAAGGATCTGGGAGAGGGCAGAGGGCGCCAAGGCCGCAGGGCGTCCTCCCGGGCAGATCCCGGCCCGCCGCAAGAGGGGCTCGGGAAGGAGGGGCGGCTGCGGGGCGCCAGGGCTGACAGGTGTCGTTCCCGGCGCGGGAACCCCGCCCGGAGCTCCCCAGGCCCTGGGCTAGGGGGTCGGAACTTTGTTGGGGGCGCAGGATTCGGATCAGGGCTGGA